TCAAGGCACCGTCGCCAATCCGCTCGTTCTCGCAGCGCAAGGTCCAGCGCCGAGTCAAGAAGGAGAAGCGCGTGCCACTGTCGTCCCGCTGTCTTCGTCGCATGGAGGCACAGACCAAGTCGCTCCTGATGAAGACGATGGACGACACGCACATTCGTCTGGTCAAGAACCTCACCACAGCCTATGACATCTTCCAAACCATATGCAAGAAGTACTAGGGTGCCGCATTCCATGGCGGCCCGTACTACATCCTGCACTTCCTCATGGAGACCAAGTATGAGGAAGGCAGTGATGTGAACGAGTTCTTCCTCGTTCTAGAAGACGCGATGAGAGCCGCGTCCAAGGCGACCGAATTGGTTCTCACAGACGGCCAGAAGTCTGTCTACCTGTCCCACTCTATGCCAGCGTCCTGGAAGGACGACCTGCGTATTTGGAAAGGTAACCGGAAGTACATCCCGTATGACGAGCTCAAGACGAGCATTGAGGACAAGATCCGCAAAATGGAGGCCGAGACGCGCTACACTCTGGCGAAGGGTACCCCCGCGAGCCGCACTACTAAGAGCGAGCGAGCTCTCATTGCTCCAGCCCAAGCGCCGGCATATCCCGTGTCGTCTGAGCAGGTGTGCAGCTACTGCCAGAAGCCTCGCCACGACATTCGCCAATGCCGCAGACTACAGAAAGACCTGCGAGATGGCGCTGTCAAGGCCGGGACCGCCCTGCCTGCGAACTTTGAGTTCCGCGGCGATAACTCCAACCGGTCCCACCCCTACGAACGACGTGACAGCAATTCGGGGCGTGGCCGCGGGTCTTGGCAGAAAGGCGGGCGAGGTCGGAACAACGGCGGACGTGACGGCAGCAACCGCGACAATAACAGCAAGGGACGTCAGCCTTCTCGCCGTGAAGAAGGTTACTACGACCAGTCTCGTCGTGAAGACGCTCGCATCGCCGTCGCCACGGTAGTCAAGCCCATGCCGCCGGCCATCAGCCTGGCTCAAGCCTCCTCCACCTTCGGCTCCAACTGGACTGTTGACTCCGAGTGCACCAGCCACGTCACTCAACATGCCGAGTGGTTCGTTTCCAAGACCGCTGCTACTGGATCCATCACGGTTGGTGGTAAGTCCGAGATCTTCATTGAAGGCGCCGGTGACGTTGTGCTTCAGGTGGCTGATTCCAAGGGAGGTCAACGCCAGCTAAGACTACGTGATGTGCTTTATGCACCCCAACTGCACTACAACCTTCTATCAGTTACTGCAGCCGTAGAACATGATTTCCGCTTTACGTTCCAGCGAACTGTGTGCACGGTGCAAGTTGACCAACGTTTCAATGTCAAAGCAAAGAAGTCGGCTACAGCGAAGTTATACCAGTTCATGGCCACCCCCTGTCCAGAAGCAAGAAGCTCACGTGGCCACCTCAGGTAAGCCCACTGCTATTATGCTCTTGCACAAAAGACTTGGTCATCCTAACATTCGTGTCTTACAGGCAGTCACTAAAGACCAAGCACTCCAAGGACTCGACGCTAACATCGTAGTTCCCAAAGACAGTTTCTTTTGCTCTGCATGTACTTACGCGAAGTCACACCGCGCTGCATTTCCTTCTAATAAACGTGTTGAAAGTGCTTCACAACCTTTGCAAAAAGTCCATTCTGATATCTGTGGGCCACTCCCCGTTCCTAGCCTCAGTGGCTATCGCTACTTTGTTGTCTTTATTGATGACTTTACGCGCTACATGTTAGCGTACCCTATCAAGGCTCGCAGCCAACTCTACTCTTGCTACGAAGACTTTAGGATGAAAGCCCTGAATATCTTTCGCTCAGATGTACATACGCTAGAGTATCCAGGATCCACCTCGGACTTGGATGTTCAATTGCTGCAAGCTGATAATGCAAATGAGTATGATAAGCTGCGTCGCATAGTCTTTTTGCGGTATGGAGCACACGCGCAATTTACAAATGCCTACACACCACAAGAAAATGGTGTCACCGAGCGACGTATGCGCACGATCATGGAACGCGTCCGTGCCCTCTTACTTGATGCAAAGCTACCCAAGACATTATGGGCTGAATGTGTTAGTCACGTGATTACATTTCTTAACATGACACTCAGTGAAAACACGTACACATGCAGCCCGTAGGAGTTGTGGTACAATCGTAAACCAAGCGTTCAGTACCTGAAGGTCTTTGGGTGCGCGGCGTACGCCCACATCAATGACATCTACAGGGATAAGCTAGATGCACGAGCAACACTCTGTCTATACCTCGGTATTCCAAGCCACAAGAAGGGGTATCGTCTCATGGACGTTTCGACACGAGCCATAGTTTACAGCCGTGACGTCGTCTTTCAGGAAGACAGCTTTCCAACCCTTGAGAATATCGACGACACACCCGATCCATTGCTGCTACCGGCTCATCTGGCTGGTACTGCCCCGTCTGGTGATAGTCCCACGTCCAATACTCGAACTAGCCAATCCCCAAGGGTCGGACCAAGCAGTCCCCCGAAGGTCGGACCTAACCTCCCACCCCTTATAACATCTGCAGCGACGCCGACTCCACTGAATGATGCCACTAACATTGACGAAATCGTCTATTCGTTTGTAACGAAGACGCCTTCAACACCTCCAAATCTACCTGCCAAACGCCCTCGATACGAGGAAGCAGTTAACCTTACAGAACTTACATCAGCGAAAGATATTCAGGAACATAAAGAACTTACAACTCAAACACCTAGCCTACTTGCTATTCGGTATGTACCTGAGCCTAAGTCGTACAAAGCCGTCATGAAGTCTTGCTACGCTAGACAATGGCATACTGCTGCTGAGTCAGAATTTACGTCCCTCATGAAGAATGAGACGTGATTTCTGGTTCCACCTTCTCATGGCCGCCGTGTTCTTCAAAATCGGCGGGTCTTTGTTGTCAAGTACACTAATACGGGTGAAATCGACAGGCTTAAGACACGCCTAGTTATTAAAGGCTTCCTACAGCAGTATGGCATTGACTACAATGAAATCCTTTCTCCTGTTATCAGGATGGAAGTCCTTCGGCTTCTCCTGATCATAGCTGCATTGCTAGACTACGAGGTTCATCAGATGGATGTAAAGACAGCTTTCCTAAATGGCTTTCTCTCCGAGGAAATATACATGGCCCAGCCCGAAGGTTTTGCTGCCGCTGGTCAAGAGCATCTTGTCTGCAAACTTTTAAAGAGCCTCTGCGGCCTTAAACAAGCGCCTCGCATTCTGTATCAGACACTGTGCGCCTTCCTTGAGAGCCTCGGCTTTCACAAGCTGATCAAAGATAGCTGTGTCTTTATGGCAACTTTTGATGGCCAAGTATGCTACTTTGCCGTCTATGTGGACGATCTGCTTATCATAGCACCCACCGTAAGCCTCGTATGCCGTATTAAATCGGCCCTGAAACAGAGATTTTCAATGGCAGATTTAAAGTACATTCTCGGCTGGTCCATTGAACGGAACCGTGAAACCCGAACGATATTTATCCACCAACAAAAGTACGCCTCAAATGTCCTCGATAGGTATAAACATCTCATTTCGTACCCCACTGCGACGCCCTCAGATCGCAGCATCCAGCTCACGAAAGCCATGGAGCCTCAGACCCAAGAAGAGAGGGAGTCTTTGAAAGACATTCCATACAGAGAAGTCGTAGGCAGTCTAATGTACCTCATGGTCGGCACTCGCCCCGATCTAGCATGTTACATGCGCCAAGTCAGCCAATTCCTAGTAAACCCTGGAAAGGAACACTGTAAAGCAGTGATAAGAGGCCTAAAATATCTATCTGGCACGGCTGACCGAGGTCTGCTACTTAGTGGACCAACGTCAGTTGATGTGCTGATCATTTGACAGCCTACACAGACTCTGACTATGCTAATTGGCCTGACACTAGAAGGTCAGTTGGCGGTTACGTCACAATGATCGGGACAAGTCCCATCTCATGGCTTTCGGGGAAGCACCATACTGTCGTGCTCTCGACTACAGAGGCCGAGTACATTGCCTTATGCCATTGTCATCTTCCTCAAACTGCTACTCAAAGAGCTAGGTTTCTTGACAACCAAAGCCAATGTTATCAAAGAGGACAATCAAAGCTGCATTAAAATCGCTAGTAACCCGGAACTACACGGACGATCAAAGCATATTGACATTCGTTACCTTTTTGTTCAGGAAAAGGTAGAACGACACGAATTCAGCGTCGCTTACTGCACCACTAAGTCAATGGTAGCAGACATCTTTACCAAGTCACTTGACCGGAATTTAAGAAGACAACTAGGAATGCAATCATTTACTAATCTAGCAAATAGATAGATCAATAAACACGGTCGAATACATATTCATTTCACAATATCAATGAGTCACAGGATAGTGTGGGGTTTCCACTACAATAGGTTTACCGACTGCATTCTATAGGTTTTACCCTCACTGAGGTTTCCCTGGTACACAGCCACCGAATAAGCTAACAATAATAATGTGAAAATGAATGACAAGGTCAAAAGAAGCAAATGTATTATCTGCTTAAGCCTCCAGAGCTACCTTACGCACAAACTTAAGGCTATTGATCCACTCGCCATATTGCTCCAAGCTGCGCTTGACGGACTCATCACGAGCGGTGTACTTGTGACCCTGCACCTCCAGGACGAACGCGTGCCCGACGTCCATGGTGTTGCTGGTTGCCACAATGTAGAGTCCGTCTTCGAGCTTTAGACGCTTGATGCCAGCAATACCACGGTGTCCAGTACGCTGCCGATTGTACTCAAGGTCCTTGAGTGAAATGCGCGATCCAGCACGCTTAGCTGGACCAGAAACGCCTTGAAAACCTTCCAGCGGACGCCGCGAGACAAATCAGCTCCACGCTTGTCAGCATCAGCGAGAAATCGCTCTACTTCGGCGTCCGGCACTGCTGATGGCTCACCCAGTAACTGCACAGCTTGCTGCAGCGCGTTGAACAAGCAGGTCCCGATCGCGTTGGCGCCAATAAGCGTCGGAACTGTCCTTCTCGCCCACTGCAGAAAGTCGTCCGGATGCCCAACCAGCACCCACACATCCACCATCAGCATAGCATAGCCAAGGCCGTCCACCTTGAGCGTCTCCTTCGGCTCCCATGTGGGTCCCAGCTCTCCGTCTCCTTGTAGCCATCAGGCTTCCTCCAGACGACTTGGTACCTTTCGCCGTATCCTTGCGGTCCGAGAGGTATGCCACGGGCCAAGCCTCTACTTGAGACTGCTCCTCGGGCGGCGTCGTAGAGCTGACCTGCACCTGCTGCACCTGCTGCACCTTGGGTGGTGTCCAGCCTGACCTGCACCTGTTGCTCCGTTGAAGTCCTGGCGCTGACCTTCACCTGCTGCTGGCTGGTGCTCTTGCCGCCACCTGACATCTTGTCCACCTGCACGGTACGCGCCATGGCAGTTCAGGGCTAAAGCAACCCCAATACAACCAAAACACACACAAGCAAGTAAGGCAAAAGAACAGTTTATTTAAAATTAACTGTCACTGCCCTCAAAAGTGGAAATGAACGCATGCATGAAGGCGTCGGCACGAGGTCTGCAGAACGCACGACAAGTGCTGGTGGCCATGTGTGCAGTGGGACTGCCGTAGGTTAGCGTCAGAGGAAGACGGTTAACTCAATGAGTTATGGGTTAACTCAACACCTTATTAAAGGTTAATAGGCCTTAACCCTTTCGCGAACGGGTACTTTTGACCTGGCTATATTATAGTATAGAAGGTCAAGTCATTAGGCCATCAAAGGGGGTATTTTGCCCCCTTTCATAAACTACGATACTACAGCAAATCTTCTG